TTGGGCATCCGCAATCTTCCGCATCCTCCCAATTCCCCTGACCTTAATCCTATTGAACCTCTATGGGATATTCTCAAGAGACGTATAGCCAAGATTCCCGGAGCATACAAATCACTCGACAACTTATGGAGGGCTGCTCAAACTGTGTGGAATGGGTTAACGAGGGAGGATATTGAGGCACACACTGGGAGGATGGTTGACAGAGTAAAAGCAGTAAAGGTAGCAAAGGGCTGGCAAACCAAATTTTGATATGTTAGTGGCATGATGTACTTTCACATAACACAAAGACATTGAGGCATAGTAGAAGAAATATGTCGAGAAAAAAAAAAGAATGTTGATTTCCAGAACCCATCATGTGACCATGTTCAAATACTTTTTTTGACCCTGAGTACATGTGGCTCACGACTCGCGAACTCTCGCAGTCGCCCCCTCGAGCCTCAGAGTAGTTGTGAGGTACATAGTGTAGTTGTAGATAAAATAGAGAAATGGAAAAGAAATATTTTGACCCCATCTCCAGTTTGAGTCTTTGTGTTGCAGGCAATGGCTCGGGCGCACTGAACGCGCGACCTCAACTCTATTTGCGTGCGCGTCGTGCCTCCCTCACGTGCGGAGGAGATCGGCGGGCAGAAAGTGCAGCCCTACTTCCGGTATACACGCAGAGCTCTCACCTTCGACAGAATCTAGAAAATCAAACAAAACTGATTAAATTTCCCTCATACCCTAACCAATTATCCCACTTCGCCCAATATCCTTCGATGTCGTAGAACGCGTGAAATGCGGCTTCGTGAGAATATGTCGCAAACGGCCGAAACATCAGACCTACGCCGAAAACATAAAACTGTCAGTTTCTACGAGTAGGCCTTGCGGCACTACCACACCGGTATAACTTGACTATGGATATGGTTTTCAACAAATTCAAGTTTTCCTTATAGAGTGACCTGAATCACGTATTGACGCCGCACGAGCCAGGATCCGCCGGCGCAGCGGCCTTTTCGAGTTTTTAACGTGCTCAATTGATCCGTCGCATGATCTGCAGGATTTTATCTTATCGTAGCGTTTTTGACAAACTTCGATGTGCTTGCTAGTAGTAGTACGCCTTTCCTTCACCTTCCAACCATGCAAAGTCCTGAACTGCTGAGATACATAACAGCAGGTACGATACTTGTTGGCTCAAAACCTTCTGAGCCTCCTACGAACCTCCGAGATGTTTTGTCGTCACGGCTGAACCAGCTTGATCAGCATCTCGACCGCCCGGTAGCAGATAGGCAAGGTCAGTTGGAAGATGTTCAGCTAGAGACTGCCCAGGAAGCCCTCAATGTTGTCTGCAAAATACAACAACTCATCGTTGAAGACACCCCAACGGTACCCTCCTCAAAGGATTCTGGGCCATCGCAAGAGACGAATCTTCTTGGAACACGCGACCTAACATATATCCGGACGCTTTTATCCATTGCATTCAAATGGGGCATTGAGCCATTACTGCGAAGAGTTATGGACGCCATCCCTACTACGTCTCCCGTCGGTGACCACACAAGGGCGACTTTGATTGACCTCACGAATGTCCCGGAAGACTACGCTAGGCTTCGTAAACTACTCCTTGAACTATTCAAACTCGTTCTTCCGAACGGAATCCAAGGAACCCTAGCAGCCACTCACATCACTATCACCTTGATTGACCGACATTTGGCTGACCTGATTCGCCCTAGCATATGCCTAGGTTGGCTTCCCAAACCGTTGTCGAGCGACTCCGTCCGTCCAATGGATGATCTTCGCCCTCTCGTCATGCACCTGACATCTCTGTCAGTGGTGTTTGCATTCTTTCTCCCTTTGACATCAGTCTGACATTGCTCGACCAGTCTTCCTGTCTCTAAAACTGTGTCTGCCCTAATCAGCATACTGCCAGATAAATCATTGCCGAGTTATGGGCGGAGAGCATGCAGTTTCCTTCTAAGCAAACAATTGTTTGGAAAGAACGGTGTGCAAGGGCTGCTCATAGCTCTGTTTGACGAAGAAGAAGAATCAGGGGAGGAGGCGCCATTGGAGAAGCTGGAACAAGTTGCAAAGCTCATGAATACAATACCGAAGGGTGTACGGGAAGTGGTACGTCGTATTCCAGTGCCTTTCGCTCATTTATCAACATGTCTATTTAGGAATACAGCCAGACCATAATCCCCCAGCTTGTAGCAGTACTCTCATCCGAATCGCAGACGATGCCTCGTTCGCATAAGCGAGCTGCGGCCTTTTCCCTTTCACGTGCACTCATTTCATTCGACGGGCAAGATCACAGCTCAGTCGCTCCCAATATCTTGCTCTCAATCCTTCAGCAACCTTTCCTGATGGTAACTCAGCCTCCTTCCGACGAATCAACCCACGATGCTCCTCGGAAGCTTTTGCCCGTAGATGCTCTCCGGACATTACAATCTTTATTGACCAATACCGACCCTTCCCCCACGCTCATTTCAAGTCTCCTCACACCTATAGTGCCTTCTCTATTCTCCCTATGGAGCAGACTAGAGGGCCTCAGGACAGTGGATCCCTCGCTGAGGGTATCGACTCAGGGAATCTTAGAGACATGGGGACGACTCGTCAGTACCGAGGAATGTGTGGCGACAATGTGGTTAATCGTAAGTGGAGAAGGTGGGGAATGGAAGGTAGATATCGCAGGAAACATCGCGAGAGTAGAAGAATCGTACGTATCCATCTGCTACATTGCTCGATGCGCGACTGATGTCTTCATAGCGACCAGGTACAACAGAGACTCTCTCTGTTCACCCCCGAGGACCTCCGCAAAGCCGAGGAAGCAGGAGAGTTCGATGTTAACGCGAACATCCTTCAACTCCGTCCTGACCCTGTCCACTTTGTGCGTTATCTGAAGTTGCTGAATCGCTCTGACGTAAGCGGGGAAATATTCGTAAACCTCCTCGAAGCGTATCGTCAGGCAAAATCCGTATCAGATGCAGATCCAATGAGGTATGTTCGCCCCCCAGCTAGTTTAGTATGAACTAATCCTGGTAGGAATTTAGGACACTCCTCTATTTACAACTCGTCATGCAAATCCAGTCCCAAATCGCTACAGACGACTCCTCGACAAACCTGTTCAAGAAGCCGGCCCATATACTATCTTTCGTGAAGCATGCCTTAGAGTCTGCGATTGCGCCGCAGGCGCCTCCGCCTCCCAAGCGACCTAAGAAAGACGGGCTTGGACTTGAGGATCTACGTATTGTAGATGTGGACGAAGAGGATGCGGAGCTTGACACCCTGGAGCAGAATGGAGGTGACGTCGAAGACGATCCCGAGGATCCGAGCGCGAGTAGTGAGAATGAGATGACATCCACTGCTCTGAATCTTTTGCTCTCGATCCTTGAAGGTTAGTTCTCGTGCCGTCCAGCCTCTATCATGCCGTAGTAACTCATCAATAACGAATGTCTAGCAAATACGGACTTGTCTGCCGAGACATCGCCTATTCTCAACGAAATTCCCGACCTGCTCGAGAAACTCACGAAAGACGGACCTCCGGACATCAAACAACTTGCACGAGAAGCTCGGATGGTACTCACAGCGAGACTGGCGTCCTCCTCAATGTCTTCTAAGCCCAACCAGAAGAAACAAACTTCTGACGAACAAGCTGCGCAAGAGACTTATCAAAAGGCTTTAAAGCTTCTTCAAGATCCCATATTGCCCGTTCGTGCACATGGGCTTCTTTTACTACGCCAACTTGTCTCGTCCCGTTCGTCTCCCAGTGGTGCACTCATACCACCTGCAATAGACCGAGCCCTCGTCCCGGGAATCCTCTCCATCTTCCTCCAATCTCTGCAAGATGATGACTCGTACATATTCTTGAACGCCGTACAAGGATTGTCCGCGATGGTAGATGGATTCGGGAAAGAAACGTTGAAGGGTTTGGTGGACATGTATGTTAAGGGGTTGGATGGGCTGGGTGGGTCGGTGGTCATCACGAAGCAGGACGTTGATGCAAGAACGAGGATTGGAGAAGCGTTAGGTCAGGTCGTGAAGAGATGTGCGGAGGCACTCCCGGGATATGGTGACTTTCATTTTGTTTTGCGATCACAATAGCAGACTAATTTCCTCCGTTCAGGTGATATCCTTGTTCCACCACTCTTCAGTATCATCCGAGACACTCACCTCCCGACTACTTTGCGCACATCTGCCTTATCTCTCCTCGCACTTTGTGCCGATGTCAACCCGTTGGCGTTGTTCTCGTACACGGTGGATCTAATCACGGCGATGGTAGACTTGCTCCAGGTGGAGTCTGTGCCACTGAAACCAGAAGCAACTAAGAAGGACAAACCACCATCCGAAGCAGAGCAAACGCAAGAGAAAAACGAGAAGGAACAAAAGTCCGAAAGCAATGTTCCTCCTCCGCCCAGCATGGACGCCCAACCCACATCCACAAACTCCAAATTCCCTCCCCTACGACGCGCAGCCCTCCACTTCCTTTCCCTCCTCACACGTTCATACATCAATCAAACGGTGGAGAATCACAGGAGCTCCGCTTCTTCCGGTATCGTCTATGGTCTTCCTCCCGCCCTTCTGCGTAGGGCAAAGACGACTGTAGGGTATGTGGCGGCTACGGATGAAGATAACGTTGCGAGAGTAATGGCCCGAGAGGTACTTGAGGGACTTCACAGCGTGGAGATCATACTTTTGGGTCTATGAACCCAGAGACTGGAGACGGCGAAGTCACATCGACTACTATCGAGCTAGCGTTCTGTCGCTGGCGGGGTATAACAAAGTCAGGGTTGTGCTATAATCACTTCCTCTAAGTATACTATGAACCTGCAGGCCGAGAGCGAACTGTATTAGATTCATGTCTTGTGGATTTCTCAAGATTCGCGAGGCTTATGGATGGTATTAGGTCTCGGATAGCGGATAGCCTAGTCTCCTCCATAGACATTCACAGAGAAGATAGGTCGGGTATCCCTCTTTTTAGGTATTGATGTCGTTATCGCCACATTGTTGAAGAGCCCAATGAAAATATCGCTGCCTTGGCGCAATGGTAGCGCGTCTGCCTCCTACTGGTGGGACTCGAACCCCCAGGTTAGTAAGCAGAAGGTTGCGGGTTCGAGTCCCGTTGGTAGTATAGGTTATATATTTTTGCCAGTTTCAACATATTTCTATCGTAATGTGTGAGTGCCATTGAGTTTCATTGAAATTTTGGGGGAATCCGTGGCTGAACGTTGAAGATTACCATGCCATGTTGCCCCAGTCCGATTTAGGAACGTAGACGCCCGAGAAGCGGGCGTTCAGTACGGCTTGAATTGCAAGCTCTCTACTTCCAACCTCTGTGCCAACCTCTACTTACATCTCTCGCGGTGGTCACAAGTATTGCACATATGTTGGCACGTCCCTCTCGAAATGCCGTCTCGAATATCTCGAGAACAGTAGCCGCGAGCTGTTCTCGACTAAACCATTCACTGTCACCGTATGTGCCAACCGTTTCACTCATGCGCAACCTTCTTACAGGGTAGAAACGCTTTTCTCATGTTCTAGTGTTTCGTCGTTGGAGGGACAAGATTTGGGAGCTATCCTTGCTCAGCCCGAGTTTGCGTCAAAAGTCGTACACGGCCGCTCCTTCGTCCCAGCATACTACCACCCGCGAACACACAACATCCCCGTCGCACTCATTCATTTCCGATCACACCACGTCTCCCTCCTAAACCTCTTCACGCACTTTTGCGCACATACCGCTTCAGCACTTGCCATTCCCATCTCCAAGACTATCCCCTTACCCACCCAACGTTCGTTATGGACTGTACCCAAGAGTCCGTTCGTGCACAAGTCGGCGCAGGAGAACTTTGAACGAAAAGTTCACAAGCGGGCTATCAAAGCTTGGGATGCCGATGACGAGGTTGTCGATCGTTGGATCAAGTACTTGGAGGCGCATGCATTGGCGGGTGTCGGTATTCGGGTGGTTAGGTGGCAGCGGGCTCCGGTCGGTGTGCGTTCGCTGACGATGGAGGCTATCAAGAAGCAGATGGCTTTGGACGCTTCGACCACGAGCTCTGAAAAAGTCAAAGCTCTCGGCGAGAAAATCGTTCAGCAAGAGTTGGCTGCGAATGCTGGGGAAAAGGTCATTGAACAACCCGCGACTTCGTCGTAATGCCAGCTTCCTCATTCCTCCCTGCTATCCAAAACACCTTGTTCATTCATGCTTTGCGGTATTCTAATTACCATTGCATTGTAGCTGCACTTCGTAATACAGCCTTTCATTACAGTATGATCAAAAGACAAGAGAATATTCGTACGACACAAGAAGATCATGAGGGGTTACAAACAACAGGCCTAGGTATTTCGGCATACATGTTCATGCTCGAGTTTCAGAGTTTCGTGGCGTTTCGTTGAGGCCGACAGTCCATCCAATCCATATCATTCCACCCATTTTCCCATAACGCAGGTTTATTTAGGGAACATTTCGTCGAAAGATATTCTGCACTCTTAATGGGTTCCGTTGACCCCATTGACTTGACTAAGAGCAGCATCAGCTCTGAGAAGATCGCCCTCACTCAGGCTCTTCGACCTTCCGCCGCCAGGTGTGGAGGCACCGGAGATAACAGAGCTCGCGCGGGATCGAACTTTCATAACGAGCGGGCTATGAAGAGTAAACGTCAGCATCTCTCCCAAGAGCGTAGGTAGACAAGAAAAATACGCACAAAGGATAACCTTCTTCCTCATCCTCATTCGCCCACGGCTGTCCTCGGTAGTCGCTGGTGCCTAAAGCTTGCATCTGTAACAGCATTTGTCAGATTTTCTGAACACAACAACACGTCTCTAAGTGAAGCGACATACCTCTTCCGTGAGAGTACCAATGTCGCCGGGCGTAGCAAGGCCACCCATCCGGTACCTCGGGCTGGGAGGTACACTCATCGGCGGCATCCTCTCCATGCCAAAGTCAAACTCCTCGTCCTCGCCCTCCAACCCAGCAACGCCATAGAAAGCGTCAGGATACGCCCTTCTCAACGCCAATTGTCTTGCCTTGCTGTACTCGATTCCCAAGTTCTTCCAATCCAAAAGAGGCGAGAGACGCTCGACACGGTTTCGTTGGTTTATACGCTGCCGACGGGTCTTATTGCAGAAGGAGTACATGTAGTCCGTGAGTTGGTTGACAGAGTCTTCGACGGATTGTGAGCGTCGATCGACGATATAGCATCCTTCGTCTTCGGGACGTTCAATCAGGTCTTGCATGAAACATCCGAAGCCAGAGAGGTTGGTTGTCACTGAGGGAATACCCATCTTTCACAGGAGGTGAGTATATGCTTTGCGTTCTCGCTATATGCGGGACAAATGAAAACTTACCACTGTACACTCAGCAGGAGTGTAACCCCATGGCTCGTAGTAACTCGGGAATACACCCAAATGGCATCCACGGACAAATTCCTCATAGTCCATGCCCAGGATAGGGTTGTTAGAATTCAAGAAATCAGGATGGAACACGATCTTGACGCGATCAGCCTCAGAGTTGAACAATTGCACACGCCGAATTTGGTTGAGAATTGGATCGTTTGCATCATCCGCCATGTTGTGCGTTGTAACCGGAGGCAGTGAATTGCGCTTCAAAGCGAAGATACGTCGCTTGAGTAGGATCTTGTCTTCGTCTGAGAGCAGATCGTCAGCTGCCGTAGCAGCACCATGCTCGCTAAAGCAAACTCAGCTTTATCCGGGACATTGACCTAAACTAGGTACATACCCATTGGATCGCATCGCACGGTCAAACAGGCGGGCACCAATCCGGTGTTGAATTTCGGTAACAGTGTCGTGAAGTTGCTTCACGACAGCTTGGCCCTTGAGAGCATCAATCGTATACGAGTGCGTGGCGGCAGGCATGATGATGAATGCGACGACCGTCAGCTTTGAGTTGGATTTTTTCAGGCGGAAATTGAGACCTGTGCCACCAGCGTCGGTACCATGTTGATATTGGGAAATTAGTGACGAGACAATACTTACGAGCGAGTGATTCGATGAACATATCCACACCCTTGTTCCGGTATTCGTACCGGCCAGCAATGAACATCTGCGCGCATATGATCAGCCAGATGTTGGTATGGATTCAACAGAAAATACGCACGTAGAGTGTGTTCTCGAGGTCAAAGTCATAATGCCCATAGAAGTGACCACGAACGAAATCGTGGATCTTTGCCTTGGCAGTAGCGTGCAAGTTCTGGAACTCGTGCATCGCCTGAAATTTGACAACGTTCAGACCATTCGGGAGGACGCCATCAGGTTTCCGCTTGAGCAAGTGTTCCGCCTCGTACGCGGTAATGTGAGAAACAGTCGTGAAGACGTCAGCGCAATGCGCTGATGACCGTTCAATGCAGTACCGATGGTAGATACCGCGCTTTCCGGCTTCATGATCCACATCAAAGTATTGGAGGTTGTTGTAGAAATCAACACTGCCTGCGCAGAGGTATCGACCGAGGAGGGTTGCGTGGGTCGTGAAGACGGTGGTCACATCGACATGGCGTTTCCTTAGGAGAGGAATTGCAAGGCCTGCCTGCCATTCGTGGAAGTGTGCGACGACGGCTGTGTCGAGTTGGCGGGCAACATACTGATGGTGGGGAAGGCGCGTCGCGCGGTGAGTTGACTGATGGGTGGATGCAAAGCGCGATGAGGAAAGCGTACCTCTCCGAGGAACCAGGCGACGAGATAGCCAAAGAGGACGGTCTCGTTTGTTTCGTGGTCGTTCGGTGGTGTTGGAATACCAGCGAGGTTCCAGAGATCGCCCTTCCATTCGTCCAGCCGTGAATACACACTGCCGGTGTCGAAGAGAAGGACCTGGGGGGCGCCCTCGACGAGCCAGCGGCCATAGAGCGATTTTACACCGGCGTTGCGGAGTACCTCCAAGGTCGCGGCGAGATGAGGATCCTTGGGCTCCTGCTGTTCAACTTCCATCGGTGCTGTCTTGTAGCTCAAAGGGCCGATGAGACAGTATCTGTCGCCGAACTCGGACACGGTGACGGGGACCTTGGTCTTGATGACGGTGTAGATACCACCGACCTTGTTCGCGACCTCCCATGCACACTCGAACAAAAGGGGGTTCTTCACGTCGCGTCGGCCCTCTGTCATGATTGCGATGGGATCCTAGAGTATATACTTCTAGAGAATTACGATGAGTGTGTTGTGGTTCAGAAATAAAAGCGGGATAGATGCGGTCTCTTGCGGAGGAGGAGGGATGAGGGCAGGTTGAAGCTGGACTCGCCTGGTCGCCAGCTTTCATATCATCTCGCCGTCACGCCTACCCCAGGAAATTCAGGGCAATAGTCTGTGACGTCACATCACGTGCGTTCTATCAATTCACACCTCGTCACGCGGTCACAGTTTTCCCCGCACCCGGCCCCTTTCTCACCTTGACTTGCTCGACCCGTGCTCGACTTGCTCAGTGTTCCTCCGCAAATCCTCTGCAAACGTGCACCGCGGATCTACTGGAAACAAAACAAACCGATAAGCATCCCCGTCTTGGACAAGTGCCCTTGATCTTGGTGGGACATCCCACAAACAAGGTAAAGTGTAAAGACAGCTCCACACCGCCGGTTATATGGGGAAGTCGGAACTTGCATTCTCATCAGACGGATAAGCAATGTCTTCGGATACTCACTGCTCTGCGGTACATATCCTCAATTCGAATCTCAAAACCCGTACGCGAGAATACCGGCACTCGGTGCGCGATGTTAGAGATAACTTGCGTGCTGCTGCAATCTCCAGAGTTCCCCCTCTATCTCAAACATTATTCGGATTCTCACCGGATGGAAACGATTGCCTACTATATGTCCTTCTTTGATACTATCGCAATCAGCCGTGAGTCCAAGACAGTATCCATTCTGTATCGAAGTGTACGAGAATGGATATATTCAGACCTAATCAGACAGTCGCACGTTTTGTTGACCCACGGTTGTAAATAGTGAGCACTATATTAGCTCACGAAGCGGTTCTTCCGTTGGAGAATCATGAAGCTCGAGAAGAGAAGATGGCATGGAAAGCTAAGTTTATGGAGGGACGGTCCGTAATGGCAATAATATCCCTTAGCAAGTATCGACTGACCTGAGCGTTGAACTGGGGCATGCGCGTTTTTGAACGCTATCCACTTAC